TATTTAAACAATGCCATTTTTCGATTTTCCCAAAAGTTTTCTCATCAAATATAAAAAACCGAAAAAAAAAACTGAGAAAAAACGAAAAGATGTACGAAATAGATTTGTATAATATTACGATTTTTTTTTGGTGGATAACTTTTATACCAGCAATGTTGCTCTAACTTTTAATGGTAACAATGTTTTAAAAAAAAAATTCACTCGAGAGATACTTTAAAAAGGTCATTTTTCGATTTTCTCCGGTGTTTTCTCAGTAAATGTGAAAAACTGAAAAAGAACATGAGAAAACCGGCAAAAACGTAGACAAATCTGGGAAATCGGTACAACATTAAACAAATATTATTAAAGAAAATATATAGAGTCTATTTAATTATTTCACTACAATATGGCATATATATTGTTGACAAAGTATTACTATCAACTGAACTCCGCTAAGAATCGTTTTTTCATAGCAATGGTTTATCGTGGCTTACAGGTATACATTAAATTACCTATAACAGTGGCTGCACCAGTGTACCCAGTACCAAGGACATCTTTTTTTTTATCTGTTATTAAATTTTAACAATACGATACGATTTAAGAAAAATATATGTTTGTATATACATATATATATAATACAGTTTTCACGCTCAATAAATTGTATGAAACCAAAAACGGTTTTACCGGTTAATTAGGTAAATCCTAAATAAAATTATGTATATTATAAAAGTAACTTTTCTAATCGCCAATTTAAAACAATTTTCGCTCTGATTAATGTTAATACAAAACTTAACTATAAATTTATTGGACGTACATCATCACTTGGTTAAAATTACAATTAATTATAAATTAATAATTTCTATAGTTATCCGGTCGTTAATCAAACGATGATTAATAATACGGGCCATACTATGCAGTATAAATGAAATCTATAATCCTTATTAATTTTAATTGACATTATTCTTTTATTTTTATACAATTTTTCTATTAATATATTCATGACTTCGAGTATGTAAAATTGATGTTATGTACGCCGTTTGACTTGTTTTCGACTCTACGTACAATATTATTATAAATATTATAGGTACGTGATGAGCGTAAAATATTATGCGCATTTAAATTTTATAATATACCCATTGGTATAGATAGAAATCCATGCGGAAACAATAAACTCGACTTGGAAACCCTTTTTTCAACCAGACCCACGGCACCAATACTGTACAGTACGTGTCTATCGCGAAGATAAACGATGCTGCAATAAAAAAAATAAAAAATGAATGGAAAACACTATTTATTGGGAAAAACGACAAATCCATTACGCTCGAAACCGATGTGATACCTAATAGTTATTTAGACTGAAACCCTAATATATTTTACACGATTTTCCAACACGTGGTTTTAATAATATTATAACACTGCAATGTCTTCTAAATAGGAGTGGACGTGATCGAAATAATTAATAATAATTAATAACATTAAAACTTTATGCATTTTCGTCGATATTATTATATAAAACGAACAACAATTGTTCGAACATATTTTGTACTTCATTAATAGTTAACATTGTTAAGTTCATAAAAAAAGTGTATGGTTTAACTCGCACAAAGTGTTAAAAGTGAATTATTTCATTAACCAAGTTATAAACGTAAATTTATTCATTTTTACCTTAAGTTAAGCTAAATTAATACAAAATTAAAACTGTCTTATTTTTAACTCGTTATAGCTCAACCTAGCTCTTTTTTTTTCAACTCGAAAACCCGCTTCAATATATTGAATTTTTTCGAAAATCGGTATTTACGAAACCTAATGCCATAGTCCGAGTATTTCGATTTTTAGGAAGAATTTCGTTTACTAGAGCTTGTTTTTGAACACGATAATTCAACTTAATTCTGTTTTTTTCGGGTTCCCTTGCAGACCACACGGATAAACAAAAAACATACGCACACATTATCCTTTGTATATATTTTTTACAATATTGACAATAGCAATCCAGCTATTTGATGATATTTTATTGTTATTCGCTATTTTGATAATACACCTTTATAAAAATAATTTATTGGACAAAAAATGAAAACTAAAAAAAAAAACAAGTAGGTATAATGGACAGTTTTCGTTTTTGTAAAAATCTATAGAATATACAAATTATTATTTATCGCTCTTTTATTTTTAATTAAAAAACAGTAATGCCGGATTCAACTTAACATAATATAGGTAAGAAAAGGAACAAAATAACAGTGTGCGTGATGACAGTACGGTAATAATAAATTAGCGTCGGCGTGTAGTCGTCACTGAAGTGGATAAAATTTATGTTTTTCAATTATTATAATGTTTGTTTGTTGTGCTTCGTTTTTGAAATAAGAAAAGGGCAATTTTTTTTTCTAACGCGATCAATTTATTACAAGTACGAGACGTGCTTTTGAAAACGGTACTTTCTCTAATAGGTAATTATTCTTCATAAAAGGCAGGACCCTATTGTCCAAATTCAATCTTATCCGTTTCACTCAAATACGCCCTTCATAATTAAGAGCCGTATGTAGTCTTGCCACCTATACCCTCCCACCCAACTGTCATTATATCTTCAATACAAAAACACACTATGTTGGGGAAAAAAATTATATTGAGGCACATAGTTATAAATCGATACATTATCGTTTAGATATATCAGAAAAATTATATCCGCATGGTGCATACACCTTATATTCAACAGAAAATCTAATTTTATTTTCTCTAAGTATGCAAGTTATTGAGATTCATCGATGACCTCATCTAGTATGCCATTTTCATATCTCGACGATTCAAAAATATAGAGGAAAATAAATTTTGAATGAGCCACAGGAGGATTGATCCCTTTAATCCCCTTCCATAAATATGCCAACTACTCAATTAGAGTTTTTTCTACTATCATCCCTGGTGTGCCCAGTGATTATTGATGCTCGTGATATTATTTTATCTCTTCGGCAAAATATTATTATAAATAATTCCTATAATAAAACTTTACCCCCGCTCAAATTTATGCAATTTAATTTTATCCCCTGATAATTTTTTCTAGTGAAATTTTACCGGGCAGTAAAATATTACGAAGGTTTATTTTCGCGATTATACGGCCGATCTTGAATTATTTCCTTCCATCCTTGTACACAAATGATTTATTCGACTATTTTAAAAACTTGTTAGGACTTAGTATCTTATTTTACAATGTAATCATACAACTAGTACAAATATGTTAGCCTTGATTTTTTTGTCAAACTCGTTGGAAGTTTAAAGAGTGATTTGTTCTATAGTTGCACAAATAAATGTTATATTATTGTTGTGCTGCACTATTGGCACTTGTGTAAAAACTGTTTTCAGAAAAAAAAAAAAAAAACTATGTACACTATTGTGACAAATCCGAGTAAATATAGAGTACGTTAGAGTTGTTTTGCCAAATCCTATTTTGTTTTCTTATTAGTAGTGATTGACAAGAAAAAAAATGGCTTTTTCAAACATTTCGATCCATTCGCGGATTCAATTATTTTGTCAATTATAAGTGGCATTTTAAAAGTCTGCAGCGATAGCGATTTTAAACGAATTCCATTTCATTTCGTAAATAAAATACTTGCGCGAGTGTCACGGGTACCTGCCGAGAGCTTGTATTATATTATTTTAACTCGAAAACATTTCTGAATATTCGGATGCTTCGAGATCGTTTTCGCATATTATTGTGTACTCGATCGCATAGACGAGTAGTATATTATATTATACAGTAATATGCGCTCGTGGGCAAACGATTTGTTTCCCTTAGTTAGTTGGCACACAAACGTAATCCCATAATAATAAACTATTGCTTGGGAAATACAAATTGCAAAATGTATTATATACCGGGTGATTCATTTAAGAGGGTGCACTCGTTATCTCAGAAATTATTAACTTTTTTCGGATTTTGTTTTCTAGAACATTTAAGGAACAAGCAACTCTACAATTTTATATTTATGTTATTTTTCGATCATCCTTATTTTTGGGAGTAAAACCACTACCTACTTTTGATTTTCAAATTACAACCTATCTTGAAAATTCCATAAATAGATGGATTATTAGGTAAAATAAATTTTAGTGGTGAAATTTTTGATTTCCGTCGATCCGTTTACGAGATATTCCACTTTTAAGTTTAGGTTGGGGGAGAGTAGCGGAGTATCATTTGTGAGACGTGTTAATAGAGGGACGGTCCGTTTTCGCCGCTCAATTTATTACACATAGAGTTTTACACTTTTTTACAAGTGATCGGTATTAATCAGTTTTGATTTTTTCAAAACGCGCAGTAAAACTTACGATAAAATTTGATCGCTATATCGGTATGTTTCAATGCTTCCAGCAAACGAAATAGACTGCATTGCTATTACATGTGATTTATAATTATATTTAAAAAATACCAATAGTATGCCAAACCTATGTCTAGTATATGAGAAACATTTTAAAAACACTTAAAATCTGTGTCGACCGTCGACAACGCCATTTCGATTTTTCGTTTGTAATCAAATCCGCTTTCTCGATATTTATTATAACGGTACTGGATAAAACGCCGAAAGCTCCGGTTTGCGTCTCACTCTTTATGGATATTATACTGTATAATAATACGTATAAAATAACAACAACAACAACAATAATAATGATATCGTGTGTTTATAAGAGGGTCGGCGACGGCGACGGCGACGGCGGCCGGGAGGCGTCCGTCGCCGTTGTCGACGGGGTTGCGCCTTTAACGGCGGACGGCGCGGCGTTTCGCGAATTGAGCTTTTTACCGGCCCGCGCGGAACGACGACGGGCACCGCGGCGGCGACGGCCGCGACGGCGGCGGCCAGTTTGCACGTCGCCGCACGCACACAAACGCATAAAAACGCACGCACACGCGCGCGCGCGCGCGCACGCCGTCATGTTATATACACACGCGCGCGCACTCGGCCGTAGTGCTGTATCGGCTTTGCCGCGCCGCGCCGCCGGTATATTATTGCGCGTACCGCCGCCGCTCCGCAGTCGTCAAGCCAACGCCGCGCCGTGCGATCGCAATATTATTTCGTAGTGCACGCGTACGAGCTTTTGGTCCGCGCGCGAGTTTTCGTATCCCCCCGGTATCGCGAGCTATAACGTTGTTATAACCGCGGGCGCAAGTTATTCCGCGCGGCACGGGGCTTTTCGGTTTTTGACACGTTGACGCAAGCTCACGGAATTTCCGTAATTCGGCACTACATATATATATAATATATATACGTATATACATCCTTTGTACCGCGACACGCACATTTCTTAGGTATACCAAACGAATAACATAATAACAGTGTAATATTCGTGGTTAATACCGCGGCGACCGTGTGCGCGCTGGCGCCAGCCACCACGCTCGCTGTCGTTATTTTGTTTTTGAATTTTTTTTTTTTTTTGAATACGTCTTGTATATACCCAGGCGGTACTTGCATCACGATTTGTTTTTGCGTCTTTCGCATTTCTCATAATATATTAAATACTAAATACTGATACATACACACCTGTAAAACTGCGATTATTATATTATAATAACATATAGCATTATGTCCAATGTGAGTTTTTGCTGTTACGAACAGGCGGACGTGATGAAGTGCGTGGACACAATTGTGGACAAGTGTACGGACCCCGGATGTGAGTATATGAAATGTGTACATACCTACTCGTATATAATAATGTAAACAGTTTGGTCAGTGTTTTTTTTTTTTTTTTTTGTTTGTGTGGTCTTTTCCGTTCGTTCCCTGTTTAATTCTCGACGATTAACGCGCGCGTGTTCCGCGCGGTCCCGCGATTTTGTCGCCGCGATAACACGCGAAAAAATACGTCCGAGTAAAGAATGAAATTAACCCTTACTTCCTTTGATTGTCATTCCGTCCTAGGGGACTACTGTGTATATATTCGTACCCGCGCATTAATTAATCACGGCTGTGTACAAACGGACGGTTCATAAACCACGGTCGCGGGTTACATAACACGGTACATAATACCTACCCGGTAAGCTCCCTGGAAATCTCGCACATTGTTTGAAAATCGTCCGCGCAATGTAAACGCCGCACTCGGTTGATTTTTTTTTTTTTAAACCTACGCACAACAGTATATTATACTGTACAGGTGTGGTAGATATAACTGCCTTTTCTTTTTTTTTTCTTTTTTTTTTTCAAATCTCTTATGTACGAATTTTGAAGGCGTTTGGTTTTTTTTTTTCCTGTAGGTACCTGCACACATAGTTCAACATTTCATCTCTATTCTCGTCTCCAATCGTATTTGATTATAACCGAACGATTAAGAAAAACCAATTATTCCCGTTGTTATTCGCGCTTCCCTTTTGTAACTCAATTCCTCAAAATATCCCTTCGTCTTCGTACCTACAATTGCCAGTCTTCAAGACCATACTGACAAACGTATACCGCGTGACATCTTTCCATAGGTATTCAAAGCTGCAACCCCCCCCCCCCCCCCCCCCCCCGCCCCAAATTAGTATTTCGACACTCTGCTCGGGCTAACCGTTCGAGCACAATTAGTTTATTGAATAACTCCAAAACTAAGCAATTTTGCTCATAACGGTCGAATTTCGTCCACAAAAAATATTAGCCCAAGTAGAGTATTAAAATCATAATAATTTGGGAGGGCCACAAAAATGGATCCGTTTCATATAACGTAACATCATTTTTTTAAGGGACTTCATAAATTTTGTATTTATTTTTATTATTGACATTTTTTTTTTATGGTGGTGAGTCTGTATGATTTTTTCCGGTATCCGATATCCGATATTTGTTACCCGATCCGAAATTTGAAATTGAAACCCACGATATTGAACTAATATAAACCGATATTATATTGGTTGGAAATCCAATTTATTTTTTTTCAAAGCTTTTTTCACATTCCAGAGACATTTTAGACATTTCGTCCGATTTTATATCCGGTCAATTATCGGTTATATCTTCAATATCAGTGTATGCCGAAGCTCACTGCGAAAATTGCCTATTAAAAATATGCAATTTTAATGTCGTTATCACATAACAAGACGGGCATACGGTCTTATATAGAGATATGGAATACACACACGAACCTTGTACAATAGGTCTACTCGTATAATAGTATAAATACGCATGGTTTACGAGTAGAAAGTAATTTTTAACTTAACTAAGTTATCATTTTCCTGACAATTTTTTACTTAACCTAGTTACTCAAATTCATTTATATGTTAAAATTAACTTTAATTTAGTTTAGTTATTTCGTATTTTATTTTATTTTTTTTTTTTTTTTTGATAAATATTAACTTAAACTCGTTAAAAAAAATTAGTTAACTCGCCCGGCTTTGCATGTTGCTTTAATATAAATTAATTTTCCATAGTTATTTTAGAGCTTCGAAATCTGTGCCTGCTCTGTATTCATTATAATAGATACCCATCTACATAATTTATACGGTCGATCGCTTTAAACGATAAAATATTCATTATCTAAACTCCATCGTCGCGTATAACGTTTTCAAATTATTATTTTAAATACTCAAATATTTTCGGTATATTGATGACGATGGGCTGAGACGAGAGTATAATTATTTTATTTGTTAGTCTGACTTTGGGTTTTTTTTTTTAAACATTTTTATCGTCATACAAAACTACCAATTCATTTAAAAGTAACATACTTACGTTCAACCGCATTAATTTCGTGTGTGAATGTTATTGTTACCATCGATAAATGCCAGAAATGCTAGTAAACATACATTTTTTTCGCGTATAAAGGTCATTCGGTATACCCGTACAAAATTGTCTGTATACCTAATGCATAATAATAATTACAATGACCTTAAAGTAGATAGGTAAGTATAATATTATTATTGCGAAAAAATTATAACTATATAAAATGATTATAGGTCGTAATCATTCGTATTATGTATTATATTATATAGGTGTTATTACAATATATGAGTTTAAGCAATTTCAATATTATTGAAACAGTTAATCGAAATGCCTACATAATAATGTTCTAATTTATTCAATAGTTGAATAAAGTTTTTGTCATTAATTTTGAAATAGGTACTGTTTTAGGGTTTAAAAGAAAACTTTATAAATCTGTACACACCAAACAAATATTTAAATCGTACATCAGATTATTATTTTACAATGAAATCGTTTTTTAAATTTTTTTGGAACGGTCACTTGTTTTCCTTAACTATATTACATTGTCATGTGAATGAATAAGTATAAAATATTTAATTGATGTTAAAAATTACAAACAATAAATTTACGGATAATATAATTGTATACACGGTATGGTTTTTATTTCCGGTTTTACGTCTTGAAACGAAAAAAAAATCTCAGTTTACGAAAGACACATGTTTTCATTAAACATTGCAAACGACAGTGGCATACCTAGAGGTTTAAAAACAAGGGAGCTTTAGCGCCCACACCTATTGATCGCTTTTATAAAATACAATAAAAAAAAAGTAATATAAAGGTATTTATCATTAAAAACGTATTACTGATCTTTACTATACAATTATATACTTTTCAAAATATCATTAAGAAAAAAGCTTTAGATATATAAAACATTGGGTGCATTAATATTTATATATTATTTTTATTTTTTATGTTTAACCTTTATTTTCTTAGTAGTTGGAGTGTTTTACAATATTATTTTTTTTAGGTCTTTGCGACCCTATTTAATTTATTTGAAAAAAAAACCAAAATTATACTACTTATAGCTATGAGTTACTCGAGTTTTGTACTTTTACTTTTAGTTAAACGATATTTGTTACAATAATTATTTCTGTTTAAATTCTGTGACTAGACAACAATTTTCTGTACAGCAAGACATCTTCCTGTAAAATTTCATCAAAATCTCTGAGAAAATAACCGATATATAAACCTGTAACAAGCGGACGAATTTATAAATTTATAAGGATTTCTTTTTTGCCATTTTGATTTCAGAACCCTAAAAAGTAAAAATACATCGCATTATTATTTTTATCGTTTCTAAAGTTTATTAGTACTGGAGCTCGAAATCGTAGTTAAGAAAAACGAGAGATTTAAAAATGTAGTGTTAGGAAACTTACAAACATAGGTACGAAAAATGATTTATAATTTTACAAATTACGGTTCTATTTTTTTTTGTGTATCTTAAAAATAAAATCGTTTTCGAGGTGGCATAAATTTTTGTCAAAAGCTTCGTCCGACAACTTTGTAATTAGGTACTTTCATGGATATACAATATAGTTGAAAGCGAATAGTTTTATTTATAATATTTTATTAATATTTTTATTTATACTGTGCAGCATTTTCTACAAATAATAAAAATGAAACACATATATTTTAAAGTTTTAAAGACCTAACCTCTACATCGTATACATCAGAGTAAGAAAAAGTGTTCACATAAAAAAAAAAAAACTTTGTATAACCTATACATTCTTTATTCCACTCAAAATCTAAAAAACATTTAATAAATTTAGTAGAAACACTTTTATTAGAATGGTTTCTGTATTTAATTATATGATTTTTAAGCTTTTACTATATTAATAATAATTATTGACTATAACGACTTATAGTATTATTATTTATCACTATACCTTACGATTTATTATTATTGCTCATATTAGGTGTTATTTTACTATGATCTTTTGCAATATTTAAATGTAATAAATATTATGTGTTTTTTTTTTTTAACTAATTTAATTATTTTATTAATGACCTATTGACTTAATAAATCATATTATTATTACTACAAGATATTAATTTAGGTAAATAGTTCCCGAACAATATTTGGCGAAAACGTCCCATTACAAAATACATTTTGACGGAAACGGGAATCATACCATTTTCGTTTTTGGTGGATAAAGGCTGTGTCCGATATGGCTCCTTAACCCTCTTCCTTCTTGTAAATAACCAGTATTTGTTAAATGTAGGACAGAAAATCGCAATTTTTATCCGTCCCAATCTTAGTACCCTATGATATCATTACGTATTATTTAGATTGTATTCCAATAACAATACTGTTGTATTTTCGAGGAAAAAGAAATAATATAATTTTGTTTTGACATCGTAAATCCGTTGTTTACCTGCAGTAGCTGCCTATACGTGATGTTTACGTGCGGGCAATAACACCAATAACAAACATAAAATGATCTACTTGGGTATAACATATAAAATAGGTCAAGGACCCTATAAAGCTGTGACGTTGACCACCCAAACAGAGAGTTGTGTTTTTGTGTATTCTTACGAGACTGAATGTTTGACGAGAGTTATTTATAGGTAACAAGGGAATGTTCCCTAAGGAATATGATTACAGTCTTGTTGTCGTATAATAATTATTGCCAAATGGCGATTACTTCTGACAAGAAATAAATTGACTCTTAGCTATCTGATTAAACTATTTTATAATAATTGTTTTACACTTGTATTTTTTTTGATAAAGAAATTTTAATATCAAATTTTGACGAAAATCGTTTCAGTAATAAATTATGTGAACAATTTTAATTTTTCTAATTTTTTTTTTTATTTGAAAATATGTATTTTGTAGATTTAAGAACAATAGTAGATTTAGAATTGGGCAAACTGACTAAGTTTCGAAATAACAACTTTTAAAGTTCTAATATTATGTGTTATGTAAAATAATTCTATATTATTTATTCTTATAGGTTCGTCACAGCCAAATGGTTACACATACCTTTTGTTATCTTATGGATCGCGAGTTCAACCCCAAATTTCGAAAAAAATTGCTTGCACTTATTTTTTTACCTAAACAGGGAAAAAAGGCATTTGAGGTGTACCTAGAGACCCAGCTATCGCTCGCTCGGACTATTTCAATCGCAGAATACCCTTCGATTTGTTGTGCAAACTTTTCTACCAGAAATCTTGCTTCAATGTAATAAGTTTAGCTTATTTTCTGAAAGGAAATTTTATCTCCGTGATAATTTAAAGAGGCCATTTTTTGACATTTCAAGTGGTTTTCATAATATCTGGGAAAAACCGGGATAAAATGATGGAAAAAAGGAAAATATACGAAATGTAACTATTAGTAAAAAAATATGATGGCCTATATTTATCTGTGAACAATTTTTTTGTCAGCAATTTTTCTCCGATTTACAATTACAGTACTTTTTCTGAAAGGAAATCTGACCGGGGAGTTACTTTAGGGAAGTAATTTTTCGATTTTGCTAAAAGTTTTCCCAGCAAATGTGAAAAACCGAGAAAAACGTACAATATTAAATAAATATTATTAGAGAAAATATATAAAGCCTATTTAATTGTTTTACTATAACATGACATATATATTGTTGACAAATCATCACTTTTAACTGAACTGCGCTCAGAATCGTTTTTTCGTTAACAATGGTTTATCTTTACTTACAGATATACATTAAATTAACTATAACAGTGGCTACACCCGTCTCCATTATCCTAGGACGTCTTTTTTTAAAACTTAAATTAAGTTTATTTTCAAATATTTTTGTGTCGATACCTTTTTTTTTTTACCTAAATGCAGTACGGCTACAGTTCGACCATTTCCTTTTATTTTAACCCAACTTCAATCCGTCTAAAATAAGTGCAACTCGAGCTAACATAATTTTACATATCCGTTGTGAATGAATTCTGCAAAATTAGGTATACAATGGGTTTAAAAAAAAAGAAATGTTTAAATGTTTTATACTGAATAAATTAAAAACTAATATATACCCGCAGTGAATACAGCAATAGAGGTAGGTCGTAGGTTTGATACCTAATGAATAACAGTGAGTAAAAAAAAAAAATCTCCATTAAAAAAAAACGACAGCAGTATTCGCGCGGAGACAATGAAAGAGGACAATTTGCTCAGGGCTCTTCTTTTATTGTCTATTATAAACGTTTTTTTTTCGCCGGTTATAGTATTTACACTGGTTTCCCTCTTATCGTCTGCACTTTCCATGGAACAAACTAGTTACGACCTGAACTTCGGCGCTAACGTTTTCCATTGTTTCTCCCTAATTTATGCACTCGTATCTACTGCGTGTTATACACGCATCTTGTCAGTTGTTGAGTTGTCATTTCGCCACCGCCCTTTTTGTTTTATTCATGTATAAAATTTCTACACTTGGTGCCTATTCTAATTAGCAAGTACACAACTCTGGAGATGTTGAGCGCATGTATAAAAATTTCTCTGGTAGGTACTTATATAACAGTAACTGTTTTTCCATGTCTATTTTTCAACTCGTATTTTTCGCTATAGATTGTCGGTGAAATAAAGAAAAAAACTGTAAGTCGTTTATACACGTCGTCTCAGGAAATGCGTGTGCGCACGTCATCGCGATAAAGAGACGGGATACCGAGCACTACATATTATATACTTACACGTCTCGCACTTCACTTCAAGGGAACAGTTTTTTTTATTATTCTTATTATTCTTATTATTTTTTTTTTGATAAAATCACACCGAGCTCCACTCAAAATAAGATGTTTTTTTTTATTAATTTATCGTTGTATTCACAGTTTTTACCATATAATTTCCCTGAAAAATATTTAATACAAATTCAAATGTTATATTTAATACAAATGACCTACCCACGATATGAAATAGGACATTTTTTTATGGAGGTTTTCTGTGTCCAACCTTCTTTTTTTCTATAAACTTATATATTTACAGTGTAATTAATTCTCGATAGGACACGCGATGTTTTGGAAAGTATTTTTTTTTTTAACAGCTAACTTTTTTAACTTTTTTAAAATAAATCTCATATTATTGCTTTTTTTTATTTTTTGGAGTGAAACTCAGTGTTGTGAAAAAATAAATCCCTAGAACGAATTGCTTTCACAGAAACGAAGCTTGGAACGCATTATTTTTAAAATATAGAAACGGAGACCAGAAAAATGTTGGTTCCTAATTATGAGGAACGTGAACATAAATTGCCGTTCCTCCTATTATGAAAAAAATATATAATATGGTTAACAGAAAGATTAAAGTTATTTAAAAATATTTCGAAACATTATTAAAAAGACACGGATAACGTAGCATAAACAAAGACATGAGGTACGTACCATACTGCATAGCCAGAACAGGAAATAAAAAAAGAAAATCCAAAAACCTTGCAGGAAGAAGTAGCAAGGATAATAGAAAGACTTAATAGCATCAGACAACTTGCCGAGAAACACAACAAATATAATAAGGGTATTCATAAACTTCATACAAGCTTACGATTCCATTAGTAGACAAGAGTTATGGAAGGTTCTAAGATGTTTTGGTATTCCTCAAAAAAATATTGATTTGATCAAGATGTGTAATCGTAAGAATATGAATAGTAAGACTATTTTTAAGATAAAATATCAACAAGAATTATTTGAAATGTTTGAAGTGAAATCTGACCTTCATCAAGTAGACGTGTTATCATCAATGCTATTCAATGTTGCCTTTGAATTGGTTGTGATAACAGCTAACTAAACGTGGAAAATGGAAGTAGGTGGAATTGAAGTCATTTTTGCCTATTCTGATGATGTGGTCGTATTGGAAAGTTCTAAAAACGAAGTGGAGTAAACCACAATAAAGCTCTTGGAAGCAGGCAAGGTCATAAGCCCAGAAGTGAATCAAGGAATAACAAAATATATGTATATATCACGAAACGATAATAATGGCTCAAATGTACAAGTAGATTCATATGTATTTAAAATATTATCATCGTTTAAATATTTACGAATCAATATAAACAACAAAAATAACGTAGTTACACGAAGAAATAAAAAAAACCAATAGCTGGCGTAAACAGATTTCATTACAAGAAAATTTATACACAAGTTACTTGAGACTAGTGTTAACATATGGGTGTGAGACGTGGGCTACTACAAAAGGTGACTACTCTAAATTATGTATAACATAAAGGAAAGTGCTCAGAAAAATGTTTGGCCCAGTTCATAATATGGACACGATCAAATATGAATGAAGGTTAGAAATATACTATTGTATAGTAGAATTAAGAGAATAAAATGGGTTGAACATGTTTGGAGGGCAGATAGAAAAACTAAAAAACGAGTCACAGAAAGAAGAATTTCGGGAAAATGACCTCTAGGAAGACCCCGAAATAAATGGAAGGACGTAGAGTAAAAAAAAATATTTAACAATGACCCATGCAAATGTGTAAATAGTGGATGCGAGTGATAAGAATTGATGGAATGAAATAGTGTTGGCAGCGAAATTTGCTTTGTCGTGCGTTTGTAAGACTGGAGGACACGGAGACCGCACATGCAATTATCATTTACTTGCACTTAAAGTTGATATTTGAAAAATTTAAAAATCGATTCCAAACAAAACATATTTTAATCCGAAGTGAAGACAGTATATGTATATATATTACATCGTTCGCCTCGTATAAGCGTATTCCCGCAGTCATCCGGTCGTTGGGTTTGAAAAATTCTGTTATAGTTTTTCACAGTCGTTCTATATATTTCGACACTCGACAATGGCACTTTTGAGAGGTTCGGTTTTAGTTGACTATAAGTACTTTTATTTTATTGTGTCGAACGCGAACGTAAACAATTTCCAAAACAAAAAAATCCTATACCGATGGCCACGATGTCGTTGTTGTCACCATGGCACTCGTCACATAAGCAAAAGTACTTAAGAAAAAGTTTTGGGAACATCTGCTTTAAGGTTTTTAAACAAATAAAAATCCTTTTTCAGTGAAGTATAATAAATGCGGTTGTATAAAAACGATTATGTCAGTACTTGTTCTTATTATTCTTCGATGTTCCACCTTACGAATTTTTATACATCGTACATCGTACAAGTACATCGTTTAAAAAAAATATGAAATCTACAGCAACGACTTTCAATGGGAAATTTAAAATCAAAGTGATATTAATATTACGAACATGTTAAACTATTATATTTTTCAGTGTACAGGTTTCAAACTACTATGAACGGCAAATAACTTAGTTTATACAATATTTATTTGTCAGAAAAATAACATAATAATCAGTGGCGTAGTCAGAAGAAGTTTTGAGTGTTGTAACCCCGCATTACTATTTTGTTCAGCTTTAGGTAAGGTTAAGAAGGTTGTAGACCCTTTTCCCCTCCCCATTGATTAATTTTGGCTACGCCACTGATATTAATATACTTATCAGTAGAGCTCGGATTTAAATATTCCTAAAATCCCCGAAAAGTTCTTAAAAAAGGCTTTTAAAAATCCCGGGGCTATCAGCTCTAATATTTTGAACACAATTTTCTAAAATTAGAAAATGATTAACACAAAGTATTTTTTTTATAATACATACAATTTTATTTTAAAACATCACTTAGCGTTTCCTTTTTTGTAGTGTTAGACAATTTTTGTATTTAATGTCATTAATAGAGTTTTTTAATATCAGTTTTTTAAGGAGGCTAATAATATGAAAAATAATTTTTCTTAATCAATTATTGATTACTTTCAATATTAATGTTTTGCAACAGCAATACCTATTTCATTTATATCATAATACAAATTTATTTTATTATTACCCGACAGCGACACGTGTCGGAGATGTTTATCCAAATGCGTTTCGCTGTATCATATAATATATATTGTGTAGGACGACACACTGCTGCGCCTTTCGTCCTGCTGCATCATTTATTTAGATACGTGTGCGGAATGTATCGGAGTACATTTTAAAAGGTTGTTTCCACAGATATATACATTATAATATATAATATATATATATCTGTGGTTATTCCCGAGTATTACCTACTTTTTTAACTTACCTTTATAGCTGGTAAAAGTGACAGGGAGGTGTGGATAAAAGTTATGAACCTAACCTATAAAAGTTTAGCCGTGTTCGACTGAGTTCGTTGATTCGATAACGACCGCCAAACCGCTACAAGGTATCTCTTATTTTAGACACACCATGTTATAATATTATGTGTTGGACATTTGCTCGTTAATTAGTAGGTTCATATTATACTAAAAAAGTTTCCAAAGGCGTGGAAGTAACTATACGAAATTACGAGAAAGTTACTAAGTCATTTTTTTTTCGGATAATTTATCGGTAATAGGTAGCTCATTATAACGAGTTACTTACTTTTTACGGTCTTAAAAGTTACTTTTAATAGTACATTATTTAGTCACTTATGTCAACACGTATATAATAATGTTAATGTATCATATTAAACTATACGAATTTTCGTATTTTATCATTTTTCGACGCGTTTATTTTATTTTTTTATTTTTGTCTATGTTACTTTATGACGATTTCACGCGTATTTCCAATAAATATTACGTGAAAATCGTATAATACGCGCAATAGATTTATTTACTTATGTCGGAATATGTCAAATCGAACGAAAATACATAATATTTTGTTTGTCAATCATAATTTGTTCATGACGAATTATATTTTATGTGCATACAAACCAGCTGCGCTGGAGGTACAAATGTGCAGATATCCACGTTTGTTATTTTAATTAGAACTTCTTATTTTTGTTCAGCGTTTTCGTATCGGAAGCAATTAATTTGGAAACCTATCCTTCGTCCGCGGCCGTCGCGATCGTCTACCTCCCCCCGTCATCGCTGCAGAGAATTTCGTCGCGGCCTCCGATTCCGCCTACGGTGTAATCCCCGCAGTAATCGTTTATACCTATCAAAAGTAAATAGGATATCACGAAGAGATTTGATCGGTTTTCTGTCGATGTTTAGAGTTTATATTTTATTGCACTAATGATTATTATTATCTATATATTGTCGTATATCCGTGTGGATCGTTTTCCGTAAATCACGACGTTCCACTTCCGCAGATAACATTTTCTTCGGTACAATACGGTGGCATTGAGTTGTAAATCTCCAAGTTTACGTATTACGTTATACCTATTGTACCTATCTACCTAATACCTATAATACCGATTTCACTATCAAAAGTTACATCCTACAATGTATAGTATACTATACATATATAATTTATATACAAGTGTCCCACGAAGATATACCCATTTCGATTTCTCTTCAGATAATAAAGATAATCAAATTCTGTTTTTTTTCTTCATATTACTCGCAGGAGTAAGGGAAAAAACAAAAAAATAACTTTCTATTTTATTATTCAAAAAATTTGAAGATAGCCATTTTATAGAATTAATTTTTTTAAAAATGCTGACATGTCAATTTTGTATTTTCATTAAACTCATGATTTTTAACAATTTTTAAAGTTCAGAGAAAAAAACCTATAATTATGCAGCAAACTGTAATCGCATATATATTACTAATTGATTAATATAATTTTGGCTGATTGACACTTTTAGATTCTGAGTGGAGTGATGATTGTGTTGGTTTTACAATGATCTCTTTTCTTTTTTTCTGTGAACAACTTTTCTACCAAACATTTTACTTTGATTTCCAAGTGTAGCACTTTTTCTGAAATAAAATCTAAAAACGGTGGTACTTTAAGGAGGTCATTCAAAGGTTTTCGTGATAAATGGGAAAAAAGTAGGAAAAATGGAAAAATGTCCGAAATGTATTATTTTCAAATCGTAAATATTACAGCTTTTCAAAACATTTATAACCGAGCTCCGTTTAGAATCGTTTTTCGTTAGCAATGATTAATCGATGCGTACAGGTATACATTAAATTTCACCTCAGTCTTCCTAACTTCTCACCTACAACACTGGTCCATCCATCATACAAAGTATGTCCATTTTTTTCTGAACTTCAAAAAAAATATTACAAATCACGAATACAATGAAAATAAAAAGTTGAAATGTCAAAATTTTGAAACGTATAATAGAATATAAAATTGCTATCTTCAAATTTTTCAAAAATAATAAAATAAAAAGTTATTTGTTTAAATTGTTTAATAAAACATACAAATTAGTTGAAATATAAATATTTGTAGTCCTTATCCCTGCGAGTAGTTAACATAAAAAGAAAAAAAAACAAAATTTGATTATCTTTATTATCTCCGGAGATGGGTATATCTTCGTGGGACATTATAACCATATATTATACACTTAATTGGCGATATAACAAATGAAACTATCGTTCCCTTGAAAATCTCTTGATGTAACGAAAAATTAAATATATTTTGGTTCCCTTGATGTAACATATTTCTTTTGGCCTAAAATCTTGCGATGTAACACATTTCCACAATATTTTGGAGCTTGATATTACGAATTTTCAATTTTCATTGAGATTCAATACGTTATAGTGAGTCGACGAAAAATACATACCTTATAAAAATAAAAATACAGTAAAAAGAAATAGCTTGCTGTTACGAAGTTTTTCTGGCATACATATCGCAATATATTATCGCTATTAAGATAAAATAAAATATCGATAAATGTATAATGGCTCTACGAAATATATACAGATTACAGAAAATATGTTTTACATTAACGTTCATAACATGTAAATAATATTATTATTATTATTATATTATAATACCCCTGCACGAGTCTTCTCAGTGGGGCCCAGTACTCTTATGAATATGAAATAAAATAAAATAATAAAATATATATATTCATTATTACTGATCCAATTAATGTATTTCATATATTATATTATGTACCTAATACATATTGTGATTTTACTATATAATATATATGTATTATATTTTATTTTATATGTATGTAAATATTAATAAAAGAAAATAAATATGTATTTGTAGTGTGCCGATTAAAATTTTGAATTTTCCTTTAAATCTCGTTAAAATGAATTTTGTTGGTATATAGTGCTCTTGATATAACGAATTTCGCAGTAACGAACTTTCGATAAATCGAACTTTTTTTCGATCCCATTAAATTCATTGTGCCATGAGTCAGCTGTATTTTTATACACATACAGCTTTTGATCATCACGTTCATCGTAAATCTCGACTCAAAGTTTTACCCGGAATGTGCGGATTTAGTGACGTGTTTCCACTTTAAATTTCAAGACCGGTAAAGTTCTCGTTTGAACGAATGAAAACAGTAGGTACTATCACTATATATACGAGATTATTGAAATCCGTTGATATATTCATTCGTGGGATTTCTATGCGAAAAATGATCAAAGGCATAGATAATATATGTACGTTTCCGTCGTCTTTGTCGTTTTACTGCGATCATATTGCCGCAAAATTATCGGTAATAATTTAGTTTTTCTCGTTTTTGTGTATAGGTACGCCGAATACTGACAATTTCGGGACCTAATTTGTTGTTTTTATAAAAAACGGATTTTTTTTATGGATTAGTTGATGCATAAAAAGATAATTCTTTAAAAAATAGCATTATTGAATAAGTTCCCGATTTCGAGTAAATATTTGATAAATAATTTGGGTACATCGACCCTTGAATCGGCTCCCGAAAATGTACAGTTAAATTGGCTCCCAAAATCGTGGAATAATATTATTTAAAAAGGGATTCTTAAAACACTCTGAGTCGTGTATTCGCCATTTTTATACTCTTCAAAATGTCAGTTCCAATCACTCGTAAATGTACATAGGTACTTTAATTGGATATGATATCAATTATGTATTATTATCAATGTACGAGCATTTACACGGTTATGAATTTTAAACAAATTTCTGGACAGATTTGGGGGAAAAAAATCTCAAATTTCAGGGGGGGACGTTATAACTCCCAAATTCCCTCCTGCAGATTGCGCCACTGCTTTTAGTTCTGTGTACCCTTTATGAATGTACACAATTTATTTTACATAATATAATATATATAAATAAAAGTATTTAAAAACAAATGTATTTTATATGTATACATTTAGTATTATAATTACGAGCAAAAACAATTAAATTAAATGGTGACCAAAATTAAAAAATCTGTCAAGAACGGTTCATATATTGATAGTCTGTGACCATGGCCAAATCAAAACTGTCCAGGTAATAATGCCCAAAGTAAAATATGATTTAACATGATCAAATGAAAAAATTTAACTTGAATATATTTTTTTAAAATTTCCAAATTGTCCGTGTTCATATTTTCCTCTGATCATTTTGATATAATGTGGACAGTTTTTCTTAGACGTTATTTCCGTTTTCAATTTTGCCATTATTACCTATACTGTCGTCTACTACATGTACCGTGGATAAATGTCGACTAGAATCTCTATAGATTTGTAGAGTGATGTAACTTACATCGTGTAAGGCCGGGAGACTATTTCGCAAGGAGTATCTCAAGACGGCAATGTCGTTTTGCAATGTCACTGTATACTCAATGTGTATACGGAATTCGTTTATCAAAAAACTATTATTGTCTTTACTCGTGCAATCGCAGTATTACAATACACCTACCGTTATTATTTTATTAAATTGATATACGTATACCTCTACCTATATAACAGAATACGGTTTTCGCGTCGTTGGGGGCTGTATGCCTGTACGTACATAAGTACATTCGACCGAAATCCGAGTTTTCACCATGGCGATGACCTCTTTCGCGTAAACCCCCGAACCGTTGGAAATTCTTTATATTATTATTATTACGTTCGAGATCCGGTATGTATTCTGCAGGTGCGCGCGTAGGTATTATACCTACCGCTCGAACGTAGAACTCCTAAAATGCGCTGCTTTTGCAGTCGCACAAATCGATCGAGCCGTGCACGTTTGCTCGCCTAATCGTCTGTATAAGCCGGCCCGTTAAGTAGATGCCTGCTCATCGCATACACAAAGGATAACCTACCTATAGGTCTTTGCAGAACTCTCGACATTTCCACCGGATATTTCTACGTCGAAAAACGTTGTATAGAAAAATCGCGTTTCATCTCGAAATGATAATGAGCGTACAAAACAATGGCGTGACTTGATAATATGTAGGGAACGGACTTTAATGCCATAAAAAATAAGAAAAATGTCCTAAAATAATACGACTTAATGCCTTAAAAAAATGATTTAATATCAAAAATGCACTAAAAAAATGCCCTAAAAAACATTAATTTTGATGACTCAACTCAACAGTGCAATACAAAATTACAATTTAGATAAATAGATTATCTTATCTGCACTTGTATATATGTATATACGTGTGTCAACAATAATTTCGTCTGGAGTCAGGATTTATCCGATCGGTAAAAACATAATAAATATTTTATTTTTTATTTTTTTAGAATGAATGCTAATCTACATTTTTATCGAATTTTATCCATTCCTATACAAAAATGACTTAAAAACATAAAAATGCCCTATAAATATCCAAAAATACAAAATAAAAGTTACATTTCTTAATTCCTTGATGTATGAAATGAACTTTGTGCTTGGAAGCAATGTTTTCTGACATTCAGAAAAAAATGCAATTTGCATTCAAATCCGTTCTCTAATAATATGTAATAAGAAGTCCGTGATGTGTGCATGTCCGGATTGCGGTTCCTAGCTTGCTCATAAAAACGAACAACGTTCGTACCTTATATGCCAGAGGCGGAGTGGCTTGAAAATTACTACAAATATATATATATATATATGTCCAAGCCACTTCAATTTTTACAATTTCTTGACACCAAATTGATTTTTATTGACCTTTGATATACCTAATTATTATTTTTGTTTACAGAAGTATAAAAATACAGTTATAGAACCTTTCATTATCACTGGATTAACAAAAATAGGCAAAATATTTACGGCATTACGCATTACGATTTAATTATTTTAAATTTTTACGATTTATGTTATATACCAGAAATCAAAAAGCAACAAAAGATCTTTTTTGTTGCATATTGTATCTAGTCGATTAATAAGTAATTCATTTTTTTCATTTTTCATTTTCAAAATACATTTTTATTTTTTATTTTAATTGGGAATTACCGGAAAAAGACGTCAAATTAACTGATACTTTACTAAACTGACAAATTTAAGGCACTAACAATTGCATTGTTTTAAATGTTTTTCAATTTTATTTTCTACAAGAAATATTTCTCCAAATTCCGAGAATAATACCTTTTCCAAAAAATAATTTTGTGTAATTTTTTTGTAAGTTAGGTTATGTTAAATTAGATTGGACGATATTCTGTATAGTTTTTTTAATATTTGGCAAAACAAAAAGAAACCGGAAAGTTTACGGAAATAACGGTTTCATTTTTTTCAATTTTATTTTTTGTTCTTATTTGGTTAAAAATAGGAGCAGTTTATAGGCGTTTTACATTTTCTAATTTTTTTTTTTTTTAATTTTTATTTGGTAAGTACGATAAAATTATTTTACCAAACAGAAAATGTTTGGAAATGTTCAAGATTCATTATAAGTTGTACATAGTAGTCAAGAAAAATAAAGAGCTGATGCTATTGATGGGTGTGCCACTGTTGAGGTAGGAATTGAGAGAGGTAGAATACATTTAATTTTTTTACTTTATATCTGTAAGCAACAATATAAACTATTGCTAACGAAATACGATTTTGCGCATTAAAAGACGTAATTTTTACTATTTTCGTCAAAATTTGATCTTAAAACTCTAATGAGAAAAAAAATGTTCATTTTCATTTTACATATTTTCTTGTTTATACAATTATTATGAAAACTGCTTATAAAATCAAAAAATAACTTACTTATTCATAAACTAGATCCAAAATTTAAAAAGACAAGTCTCTTAAAATTTTTTTATTAAATTTGTTTGGTAGAAAACTTAAATCGTAAAAATTTAAAATAATGAAATCGGTAACGTCACGGCGCACCGTGAATATTTGTTCGTTTTTCCTATAATTTTGTTTCCTGTTTTTTCCAGTTATGGTAGATAGGCCGCGTTCCTGTGGCCCATGAGAAATAGAGGCTCACAAAGACTATATTATGAGTCGAATCAAATATTTAAGAATGGTTTATCGTTGTCTGCAGATATAAATTAAAAGACTTTATGTGTCTTATTTATGCTCAACTTCCCATCTACAACAGTGGCACACCCAATAACATTATTAGCTCTTTTTTTTATTATACCTCGAAAAACAGAGCGAAATTCGATTAAACATATTAAAAGTATTATATAGTTATTAGTTTTGTGAAAAGTTGTCGGCCGTATTCCGAAATTCCTAAAATAAGTACAATAGTCACTATACTTGTACCTATTTAGGCACTATAAAAGTCGTTAACTTCGTCGTAAAATCCAACCGGAAAAATAAAATAAAACATTAATAAACGAAACAGGTTCCGTTGTACCTACCTATTACGAGTATATTAACCTATTACCTATTATATTAACTGCAGTAATCCTCCTACCTATCAGTTACCACACTGTTCGATTGTATACAATTTGAAATATGATAAGTGATAACATTGTTAACTAGGTCAATGGATCATAATAATAACTTTTAATCCGATATTATGTTATATTTGTTCATAATTATTGTCACGGAAATTTGCGATTCGTTCACCATGCTAAATTTTAAAACTACATTTTTGGAGGTCCTAAAATACTACAGCACATGCCCTAAAATTGATTTACTCCGATTTGTCTGAAATTTTTCTTAATTAGCAAATCTTATTAAAATTAATATGCATTTTTAATAAGAAAATTATAATTATCCGATAATATGAGTGGCCCACTCATGTTCCATGATTAAAAGTAGGTAGCTTTGTTGGGTTTTTAAAATTAGTTTTGTTATTTTAATTTGAACCCAACAATTTTTGATATTCACCCTAAAATTATGTAGCATCCCATGTCCTTTTTTACCAATCCGCGTCTGTACCTACCTACCACTTTAAACCATTGGCCGGTTTCGTAATTTGGTCTCGGGGGGAGGAATGTACAAAATTTTTAAAAATTGTATAAAAGAGGCAGCCATGAACTTATTAGCTAAGGGTTATTTCAAACCATATGCTCTTTTCTCTTGGTGTAAGGTTTGAAAAAATGAAAAAGTCATCACAAGTTTATATTTGTGATTAATATATTAGGTAGGTATCTTACATTTAAACAAGACAACTAATATATACCAATAGAAATATATATATAGATATTAATGACAAACAAATTATACAATTTATAATAACATAATATTTACTCTACAATAGACTGATATAACATATAGGTAAACAATCCATTTAATCAATTCTAATTAACAAAATACATAATTATTTATAAGGTACTCACTACTAATTCTGTCATTACTAATTTTCAACGACTCCACGAGTAGTTTTTAGCAATGTTAGTTGGCTACCAATTACTACTTTGGTTCAAATTTAGGTTATCAAAAACATTAAAATTTTTTTTGTTTATTGTTTATTTCTCGTATGAAAGAATACCTCACCGAGTCTCTCACCACTGCCCCATCAATAAATTACTTACTTATGCAGATTAATTATTTGTCCTATTATTAACCAAACGTACCTACCGTTTTTAACCTTATTAATTATTATAATAGGCAATATTATTATTTACCAATATAAGTTAACATTAAGTATTTCCGAAGTCTCCGATGTCGTTAAATACAAAATATTGCGTTTCTACTTTGCGGTATTCTGGATACGCACATGTTATTTTTTAAATTTAAATGGTTTAAAAAATTTCATGGAACACAAAACAAACAACTGCCGGTACTTCAAATTGTTATCTATACAATGTCCATAATATTTATTTTTCATCGTTATCACTTTGATAATAATTATTGTTTAGTTTAGATTTTATTTACATCCGCTACACCTACTTAATTATTGTCTATTATTATCTACTCATTTATAGTTTTCAGCCATTCCAAAATTTCTTTTGCATTAGTCTGATTTGGGTTTTAGTACACTCACATTAATCCATTACTGAATTCATTAATAAAATTGTAAATATTTACTCCTAATAGTCTGTTAAAAAAAAAATATTTATTTAAATACCTAGTACAATAAAAACGTAAATTATATTTTTTTTTACAATCGAAAACACTTAAAAATTTCAATTCTTGAAAATCATTTAGCTATTCAATTAGTTTGTGAATACAAACAATAATGTGTGTTGGTGAGTTTAATAATATTTTACGTTTATGTACTATAATAATGTTCAGTAATAAGTCTTAGTTATAAGAATCTTGGAATGTGAATAGGGTGTTGCCAAGGTCACAATTAAACCATGTACCAATTTTTCTTTATTTTTTTTTTTTAATACAAAAATTAATATTTTATTTCATAAGTAAACATAATTGTATATATTTTATATGGTATGTTTTTTTTATTTTTATAGGCTGCCTATCTCGTATGAGGCCACGCTATAAACGGCTTGTTGATAATATATTCCCATCTGTACCACAGGTATTATAAATTAACATTTAAAAGTTTAAAATTTGTTATTTTAAATGGTAATTTCATGGTTTAGGAAGGTTTAGTGAAGAACAACATGGAAAAATTAACGTTTTATGCTCTATCTTCACCGGAAAAATTAGATCGTATTGGCGAATATCTCTTCCAAAAAGCCAGTAGAGATATATCCCGTAAAAGAAATGAGTAAGACATTATTAATGCATATTAAGAAGTGTACTTATATAATATATATTTTGTTTTAATATTTTTAAATTTAGATTTGTAATGATTGCTATGGAAGCTATGGATCAGCTTCTTGTGGCATGTCACGCCCAAACATTAAATTTGTTTGTTGAAAGCTACTTACGCATTGTGCAAAAACTACTTGAATCATCTGAACCAAGTTTGCAAATACTTGCTACGCAATCGGTATATTATATAAATTTACTTATCTTAAATATTAATTTTAAACAATGAACAACAAAAATAAAAAAATTTTTTCATTTGCAGTTTGTGCGGTTTTCTAATATAGAAGAGGATACACCATCGTATCATAGACGATATGATTTTTTTGTATCTAAATTTTCATCAATGTGTCACAACAACAATGCTAATCTTGCTACTTTGGAAATGATACGGATGGCCGGCATTAAAGGCATTCAAGTATAATTAATTTTAAATATTTATAAACAATTTTTGTTTAATGTTTTGAATTTTTATTTAGGGAGTCATTAGGAAAACAGTTTCTGATGATTTAGTCGAAAACATTTGGGAACCTGTTCACATGGATAAAATTGTTCCGTCTTTATTGTTTAATATGCATACAATGAAGTGAGTGTCTAATTATTATTATTTAACCACTAAATGATCTGAAAATATTTGAATATTATTATATGATTGTTGTATTTTGCAAATAAATTGTTTGTCCTGTAATATTGACTTTATAATATGACTTTATTCTGTATATAATATTGTTTAATGCTTTTCTTTTTAATTAATATGTTATATTCAATTTGTAGATCAAAATCAGATATTGTAGTCGAGAGTGGAATTTCTGAAGAAGTTAATGATAAAAATGATGCTTTCTCATTAGCAGAATCTTGTTTAAGGGAGCTAATTGGCCGTGCATCATTTGGTCATGTCAAGAGTGTCATTCGCCCTGTGCTTAAGTATATATTTTGTTGTAATTTCGTTTAATTTTTATAAAATTGTATATTTGTTTGTTAAGACATTTAGATGCTCATCATATGTGGGTCCCAAATGTGTTTGCCACACAGTGTTTTCGTATTCTAATGTTTTCTATTCAATCTCAATATTCATATGCCGTTGTGGAAACATTAATGACACATTTAGATGAGAACAGTAATGCATCTCCAAAAATTCGAACCAGTATTGCAGATGTACTATCCAAGATCATAGCTATTGCTGCTAATGAAAGTGTTGGACCAACAGTATTAGAAATAATCAATTCCTTGCTTACTAATCTTCGTACATCGGTCACTAGACGACCACCGTCCAACATTGGTCTGGCTGAATCTGACGGTGAAAATGAATATAGGGAAGCTCTTATACATGCACTAGGGGAATTTGCAGCTCATTTACCCGATTACCAAAAAATTGAAATTATGATGTTCATCATGTCAAAAGTTCCTCAACTTAAATCTTCAAACAATCCCAACGATCTACATGTACAGAGGATGTGTCTAAAATCACTCTTAATGGTATTTATTTGTTTCCGGTTTTTGTGCATATTGATCGTTATTAACTTTAAATATTATTACTTAGGTAAGTACCAAATATTGTTCAGTTCAGATGAATGCCACATTTCCACAATCGTTTTTGGATCTATTATTAAAAACACTAACTGCATCCGAAGATGAAATTCGCTTTATTGTATTGCGCATATTACACACACTTTTAGACCGACACAATAACGCTTCTAAGTTTTCTAAAGCTACGTGAGTTATCTCAAGTTGATATTTGTATACTGCCCAGAAACTGAAAGTATATAATAAAATATCGTTTTTTTTTTTTTTTTTAGAGTAAATATTACAAAATCTGAAATAAATCTAGAGAAATGTTCCCGCAGTGATACAATATTTATCCGAAAACACGCTCAAGATATTTACGTATCTATATATGAATGTTTAGAGATCACTAACAATACTGTTGACAATGTTGAAGCTGTTTATACAACTCTGGCTTTAATATGTATTGAACTGTTGTCTGAGGAAACAGTTTTAGACTTTATTAGACTGATTTTAAGCATACAAGAATTGGCTATTACTAACGCTGTACTTTCAACCCAACAAAAATTTCATTTGCATGCTTTGGTTGTTAGCATTATGCTCCTAGTTGCAATCATAATAGATCTACATCCGCTCAAAATTTATATAAACAAAGTAAGACATAAAATATAGTTTAATTGTATTGTATTAACTATGAACATAAAACATATTAAAAATTTTGATTGCAGATAATCGAACAAAGAAAACTATTAAATGCTACTCATTTGCTACCAGAATTAAGCATACATAATGAAATTAAATCTATTAGTCTATTGCCAGCTGGTGTTTTGATTGAAGAACCAGAACTTACCGAAGCTTTAAAAGCTTCAGGAATTGATATAACAAGTTGGTTTTAATCTAGTCTAGTATAATGTATTATGACTGAATGAATAACTTTTTAATGCAAATTAAAAAAACCATCATCACATTCATAATCAGTTGATAAAAAAATTAAATTAATTTCTTTAATGTTTTGAAAAATTAATAAGAGTATTTATCAGTTTAATTATTAAACATTTAATTGGCTAATTATATTACATTAGAGGTTATTATTTCAATTCATAGTATTTAACTGTCACATAAAAATATAACATATTAAAAATGTTTGTGGTCAAAATAAACAATATTTATCTATTTTTTTTTATTTTATCAATTTAACAAATTATTTTTACAGTGCCCCTAATAACCAGTTACTTATTAATATGATAAAATTAGTTTTTATAAGATATCATATTTTATAACTTAATTGTCATTTTTTCAAACTTATTTTCTTTGATAAAAAAACCATATATTTGAACATAACACTTGAAGACTATATATTAAGTTATAACTTAATATTTATTTCTTAACAACAATGCTAACTTTGCATATATGAAGTTTTTTGTTCACATCAATAATACATTTTTAGTTGGAAAATTAATTTTATAATATGATAAACAGAGTAATGAAATTTGTATAACCTTATTGTCAAAAATTGTATGCATACTAACAAGAAAGTAGATCCCAATTTATTCAAATTAAAGAATTTCTATCCATTTCTTTTTTTATAGTTTTAGTTTTATTGATTTCTGGATTACCCTCATCTACAAACGAAAAAATATGACTAATACTATTCTGCTTAGAATCAATTTTTTTTTTTTTTTAAACAATGATTATTCTTTTCCATGCATTTCATAATGTAAATTATCCTATACATCCCAATCACATACATACCTACAACAGTTGTCTATCGTGAACAGTATCAACTTTTTTTTATTAATAGATCAACTTTCTATACAATAAAATGTATTTGTAAGAAAAAAACATTTTTAACTTTACCCTATTTTAGATTATTTGATAATACAGTTTTTATTTTATTTTCTAGCAGAGACTGGTCCAGTATTAACTCACAGACGTAGTTGGGTGGAAAACACAAATATGTCAATGAAAGGAAGTTATACTGACCTGAGCAATTTAGATTTAGATAGTGTTAACTCAACACCAGCAATGCAAAGGGTTTGTATTATAAAAAAATACTAAAAATGATGGTGTACACATTTCAATTTTCAAATATTTTCTGTATAGCGTTTTTCTCCAAATGAAGATCTATCATTTGAAGCCATGAAGCGTTCGTTATTAGACAACCCAGCTGTTAAAGCCGAACAAAATACTAGGCAAACTCAACTTTGTGATTTATACAGAAATGCGTCTTTCCAGGATTTAGTTGCAATTTCTACTGCATCAAAAGTAATATTGGGTTTTATTTTTATTATTATTAATATTAGTTCATATATATATATATATATATATTTCTTACAAATAAGTAATTATAACATTTTTTTATCCACAGGACGAAGAATCGTTACACACAAAAATAACTGATGTGTTTAATAAAGTAGACTTATCGAACAAGCTGTCAGCGATTGAGACAAATAATAATTCGAAACCCATCTATGAGACATTGTTCCCAGAACTGTTTGCATTTTAATAAAACTAACTGGAATATTTGACAATGTTCTTTTAAAAAAAAAAATATTATTATTGTTATTAAAATGTATTAAGCTTATGTCTGTTGATTATTATTTATTATTAATTATTATTAGTATTGTTAATGAGGTGTATGTTTAACTTAATATATGTATTTGTGGTTTTTTTTTTTTACATAAATCTTCTTTCAACAATTTTTAAGAAAATAACTCATAAATATTTAAACATGACAAATTTGAATCTAATATCAAATATTTTACACACAAAATTGAACATTAGCCTGGACTGGAGTACCTATTTTGGAAAAAAACAATAATTATTAAAATATAATCAAAATTACCCAGTATAAGTATTGAAATTATGAAAAATACCTGGGTTAGTAAAAATGTAAAGGCTTAGAACAATAACTAGATAAATCCATTTTTTAAAATTGTTTAGGATGAATAAAAAATATTTTTTTTTTCAATAACAAAACAAATTTAGAAAATGTTTTATCATCTTTTAATTCTATTCATAATGCCTGAAAATAATAAACAAATGGTTTTACTATTTTCATTTTTCTTTAAAATAATAATTATTAAAGTTAAGTTGGCATGGAGTTATCTGGTTTTTTGTGCCAAAATATTTTTTTTTTTTTGTACACATAAATGTTTGTTTTTGACTAACTTAAATTTTATTTTTACTGAATTTTAATTTTTTAGATTCTTTACGTTATAGGTATCTATAGATTCTGTTTATATCATAATTTTGTATTCTGGAACCTTGAAAATGTTATAAAATCAAAAAATATACAAAATAATTTCAATAACATATTATTAGGTAATGATATGCCCAACATAATGTTTTTCAATTGTATAATAATAGTAATTAAATCAAATTTACCCAACATTTTTAAATACTTTTGAATAATAAGAAAATAATATCATACATTTTAAAGTCCAGGTTTGTCTGATTGTTGCACAAAAAATAAAAACAAGATAAATCCAATTCCATTATAAAATATATTTACATTTTATTGGATTTAACTGGGTGTTGGACTTAAATATAAGTAATTTTATCCTACACAATAATTTATAATAAATGAATGTTCAAAAACAGTGGATTTATCTGGTTGCTGTTCTAAACCCTGCCTTGCTTATGAAAATGTCAAATGTCTTTCAATAACTGATAAAATGAATGTTTCGAAAATTGTAAGAGCTATATAGTTTTTTTTTATTATGAACCAGCAATTTTTTCAGAGGATTTCAAGTGAATTTGTCTTGGTTTTGTTCAGACGTGTCCATGCAGGTCAATCGCCCCACCAATAGATCGTGTGAGGTTTTTATTTGATATATAAAATAGGTATCAATAATTTTTAAGTACAAATGCAACTGGTACTAAATGCCATCAAGATGATTCCGGATCTTGGAAATACTTAGGATTAAAATGTTAATTAAACACTTCTTTTATAAATTTCAGTAAATATTCTCAAGGTTAAGATAGAATTATGGAAAACTAAGTGGGAACAATCAATTTGCAAAGTTATAATAAAATAATATATTTTTAGAATCAAAATTGGAAATGATTAATTTAATTTAAATATTAGATTCTGAGTGTACATTTTAATGTACCTATTGGATTGATTTAATGATGTTTTTTTAAACTGCAACAAAAATGTCTAAAATGTCAGAAATCTTGCTTCAATATTTAAGTGCAGCATCTTTTATGGAAGAAAATATTGCCGTATTGACTTAATGGTACTTTAGGAAGGTCATTTTTTGATATTCCAAGTAGTTTTTCATCATAATAGGAAAACCCAGGAAAAACGTAAGAAAAGCGGTAAAATTTACGAATGTAATGCTTTTATTACTTTCGATTTTTTTTTTTTTTTGTAATTCAATTAAAAATATTAGAAAACTTGAAATTTCGACAAAAATTTTTTATTTGCCTTTTCTTGACGTGGTAAAATTTTTGAGCAATTTTATAGAACTTTTAATTTTGTGAGTTTTGTACCCAATTTTTATTCAGTAGGTATTCTGTGGATAAAATTGTTAGACTAAACAGAATTGCTTGAGAATTTAACATGAGCTTCATTAAAATGTATACTTAGTAGTAAAAAATTTGAGTGCAGGCTAACTGGCTTATCGCTTTTAAATATTCGTCGAAATGAAAACATTAATATAGAAAATATTATTGATCAAATCACTTTCATAACGCTGCTTAAAATAAAAGTATTTTGAGCTTGGTTATCTAACTTTTATTAATTATTGTTATTATTATTTTTGTTATTTATATTATCATTATTTTAATTATGATTTATTTAATATGAAAAAAATAAATTTAATTTTTAAATTGTACTTTAAATTGTCTTTTAAGCTAATATAAGTTGAAATGACAAAGATTTTAAGTTTTTGTTGACTAAAACGGTGGTATTGAAGAGTTAAAATTGTTTATCAACCCCCCCCCCCATGTAATTGACCCGATGACGTCCCTGAGCAATAATATTAACCGAGTTCCGCTCAGAATCGTTTTTTTGTTAGCAATGCTTAAATTTGATTAGGTACAGATATACATTAAATTTCCCTCGATATTCTATTTTCCCAGCTTCTCATCTATAACAGTGGTCCACCCATAGTGCAAAGTATGTCCGTCAATTTTTCTTATCAGTCATTAATATTTAATTATTTCGTCCCATCCCACGGTCAAGGTCTAGAGAGTGAAGACGCCCCTGGCTTTGTATAAGTTACATGGGTGTATAACATAGAGTTACTTACTCCATGGTGTATAACCGTTTAAAGCTTAAACCAAGGTGGATCGGACCGGAAAAGTAAAGAAAAGTTATCAGTTTATCATATCTATTATCGTTAATTGCTATATCATTGTGGCGAGTTTCGCGCCACATTTCTTCTTCCCGCTGCGCATCGCTCGTGGCGGATGTCAGCCACGCCCCTCGCCGTCGGCGTTCAGCGGTCATCGTCCACAGCTCCACTCGTCACTACGTGACCACCTCTCCGCTCTCTCTCCGCACCGTCGCCGTACGCGAAGCATTGTTACCGACTCCGAATAATTATTATGTATAATTGTTTTTCTTAACTAATTTTGTTTTTAATTGTTGCGTGCTCGCCTTTCCTCCGTCAAAAGCCGTCTGCTGGCGATCACTTGTATTATGTCTTTATGTTGTAAATAAACGTTTCTTTATTACCTTATCATAAACCTCGTGTCTTGGTGTAACCCGCCAAATCATAATAAAGTGCACGATTGAATAACGTTATTATTGATATTCGAATAATCATCAAAGATATTCAAATAACACTACCGTTGACTTCCACTTCATAGTTCTTACAACACGAGTCAATCATATTTTTAAAAATTTGTTTTCGATGTTTTTAAAACAAAATAGTAAACTTCCATAATTGTAACCCATTAAAACAACTATAATTTAACTTTATCATTTTAGATAATAATATTATGGACGCATAATGTTTTATGCCTACTTTATTTCTTTTTTTCTTTTTGAAAAATATACCTGTAAATACCAGTATTTACCGATAAGTACCCGAATCGAAATTTCGATTCTATTATTTTAAAAACCGTAACTGAAAACGGGTACCGACATTTGTTTTTTTTTGTGAAAAATCGAATTGAATCCGAAACTGAAAAAATAAAGGTTTCAAGCCGCATACATTGTTAAAGAACCTATAGAAATCCTGTTCTCCGATTGGCTCTGATACCAACGAGATAACAATTTCAATATTAGTTTAGGTAAAAAGTATTTTGTGTTTTATTTATATTTAACCACATTAGCCTATTTGTATTTTTTTTTTTTCTGTTGGATATAAGACTTGAATTTTTAATTCAAACCTACTTTTATTATTTTTTCATTTAGGCATATAATAACTATTTTAATTTTTAAAAACTGATCAGTAGGTAACATTAAATCATAGCTTATAGATATTATTTGTTGATGTAAATAACCATTAACTTTATTATAATTTGTTTTTTTTTTTAAGTTATAACTGACAATGAGAGTAGACTAAGTAAGTATCTATACACACAATATAGATTGTGAGGAATCAAATGATTATGTATGAATGTTATGTGTATCTCAAGTTTTGTAATTTATTTATTTTCATCTAATGAGATGAGTGTTCTTAGTGTTTAAATTTTGTGTGTAGCATATTATGGAATAATTTATTTAATTATGAAACAATATTTTATTCTGAAATAATAATTTGCTATTAAATTTAATATGTACCTAACCTACCAACCTAAAATAACTAATTTTTCCATACATGTTACAATTGATCTAATATGAACGGTATTTTAAATTTTAACAAAAGAAAGCACTTTTTAGTTTTTAGTTACTTTACAAACTGAAACATTTAAAAATCATAACTGACAATGACATTGTTATCTCGTTGGGATTAGAGCCAATCGGAGAACAGGATTTCCATAGAGTTCCCTAACAATGTACGCTTTGCTTAAAGGCTTCCAAACCATGTCCTGTAGTCACCTAGATCCCTAAGATCTAAATGACGCAAAAATGATTTTAATGGTGGGAAATGTGAACGACTACGGGGATTAGATCATATACGATATTTCTGCAATGTATAAAGGTACTATATAGATACTATATTTTGTGTTACGATCGTGTGGCCAACATCTTAAGAGGGCGTGTCGCTATAGGTACTTACTGCAGTACTGCACATACATCTCCTTCTTATAAATGACTGTATCTAATAAGAATGTATCTATATCAGTAGAACGCAAAGATATAGATATTTATTTTATACGTACATAAATATATCCATTTCTGTGGTGAAACGTAATAAATATCCAGAAAACGACCGGTACAACATATTTTCAGCCGAGCGCAAAATTCCGGAATGAAAATTAATAGAACCTAGGTTTTCATTGTATATGTTTGGAAAAAAAATATTACACATAATCGGAAAACGATCATTCAGTAGATATTCATTTAGTAGTCATTTAGATCTTGGGAATCTAGGTAGCTATTCACGAATATCCATGGGGATTTGGTTTGACTGGGGAACTAATTGATCCGTGGTAATCTAGTTAGCCGCGGGAGATCTAGATATCCATGGGGATCTGAACAACTGGTTATGTAGGCTATTTAGATCCCTTTTGGAAACTAGTTCCCCTGCGGAAATAACTTAGATCCTTTACTCCATTGATTGTTTCTTGACATTTAGATCTTGAGGATTTGGGTAGCCGTTTACCCTTAAATTGTGTCGAATAATTTATTATCCATGGGAACAGCTGATACCGTGATAACGATATTGATCTTGTTTTGTGATATTGCGCGAGCGCGGATTTAAATTTTTCATTCCAACCATTGACATTAACTTGCTGGCTGTACATTATTTAACAATATTTTTTCTGTAGATCGTTATTAAAAATTACAATTTGATAAGCTAGAGTGCTAATTAATATTTTTCATACCATTGTTGTTTCTTGCGTTTAGTTACAATGAACAAAATACGACTGACAAATATCATAAACAACGAAGTGTTTACTTATTCTACTATATTGATTAAAGGATTTGTGGACATTACTGACGTCGATTCGAATTTGATACTCAAACATTATTCAAATAATGCCAAGCAATTGGCAGAATCCCGATGGACTGTGTATGAAAACAAATTCAAAGTAATAATTGAATTGAAAATTGGTGATAACTCGTTGGTTTTTAAATTTGGAAACGAAGTCTTGTACATAAAATTGATATACAAACAAAGAGCTACTAACTACACTGTATGTCCAGTGTATGTTATTTGTGCTGATCATGATGGAAGATTTCAGGTACCTACCTATCTAAATGAATAATTTTAATTTTAAATTATTCAAGTATAAAATCTTATCAGTCTATTATTATTCTATTGAGTAGATATATATATAATATAAAATATATTTGCTTGTTTTAGGCTCCTATAAACCATGATAATTCTGTTCAAAACGCTTGCATCAAAATAAAATTATGCTCAAAATTAATTCAAATGTTGACGGCCGAAAAAATGTACGAAAAAGGTTTTGGAAAAAAAACATTTCAAGTCGAAAAAGACTGTCGTATAATTAAAAGTTCATTAACAAGACGTACTGTATTTAATATGCATCCAGAAAAATTATGGGAGTATATAGCTAGAGAGTTGACAGCTGGCCCAAATTCAAAACATCAAAAATTTTTAGCTTTTTTATCATGCACTTATTGGGATGGACAGAATTTACATGGACATGTTGCATTAGGTGGTGGTGGTTTGGCATTATTCGGAACCGGTTGCCTTTATACTTGGCCTAGCAAGTTGGAGGAAGTTTTACCATGTTTCATGAATATGACAAAAGTTGATACCGGCACATTATTAGATGATAGCTGTTTTAGGTAATTATATCTATGATATTATTTTTATAGTAAAAGAAATATTAAATTAATTGATTTTATAGAGGAAATTTTGGTGGATGCTTTAGCACAACATTAGGTTCGGTTTGGCATGAATTGGGACACACATTTGATTTAGGCCATTCTAAATATGGTATAATGGGCCGTGGATTTGATAATGTCCATTTAATTTTTACCCTGGACAACAAAAATATTGCTCAAGAAATTATGCCTGCTAGCAAAGGATATATAATATGCATTGACAACTATTCACACACTATTAATATGAATGATGATATGTCCAATAATAATAACAACAACAACAATACAAACACAAATGAAACAACAGATGACTACGATTCAAAACATATCTGTTGGTCAATGGGATGTGCATCAATTCTTTCATTTCATAAGTAAAAATTGTATTGTTTATTAGACTATTTTTATTTTTTTATTGTTTAATGTTTTTGTTTAGGTGGTTCAACGATTGCAAAGAAGAAGAAAACAAAAGCGAAAACACAATTGATTATGTAGCCAAAAGGTTATAGCATACTATACTATTATAATAATGTTAAATAATCTGTAGTTTGGTGCAAGAATGGTCAATGTGAGAAAAAAGTGTATTATAATAATTAGGGTTAACGTTAAATTTTTGAAATTTTTTACATGTTTTACATTTTTATTTTATTTTTTGACATTGATCTTTTTTGTACCAAGCTACAGATATAAAATCATACATTTTTTTTTTCAAATTTTAGGAACTTATTAACTTCAAAAAACGGTTTACGGGTAGTTCAATTAAGGAGAGAAGACGGCCTGGTCATGCACTCATGGGAATTTGTTAAAAATAATAACAAACGTACATTCATTCTTCCTGTACAATTAGCAAATAATGGTATAACTATTATTGCTGAGGATTCTAATGGAAATATTTTAAAACATTTACTGTGATTTACTTTCACATTACTTTAATTTTAAAATAAGTATTTATTGACTGGTGGATATTCAAATATTCAATTTAGTAATTAATTTACGTTTTATTTAATCAAAACAATAATTTTTGATTTAAATCAATTGAAAATTATATGTCTAGCAATAATTTTGTATCATAGTAATATTTTTCAGATTAAGTTAGAGAATATTTTATTAAAAACTAGTCAGAAAAGATCTCAGCAATTTAAATAATATAAATATTATGTTATTCGTTTTTATATAAATTTATAGGTCGAGGTATTCATGAAAAAAATAAGTATTTTAGTGTTTATACTACTATTAAGTAAATAACAGTTTAGTACATTTCAATAAATTATTTTTATACTATGAAGTTATTTGGATATTTTAAGTTATTTAGGTAATGCATTAACAAAAGAACTTTCTTGTAAACATTAGCAGTATTCAATAAAATATAAAATATAATATAAACAAGTAGATTAAAATATAATATTTAATAGGGTTTCAATTTTGTTAATGGCAATTTAATTTTTTTTAATATTTCTAATGTTTATCTTTAATTTAAAATTAAAATTAGCTATTAATTGTTATTTGAAGTCATAAATTAATACTGATTTTTATTATATTTTTTTAAAATGATTATGGAAAGGGTTATGGACATTTATGCAATAATAATTTGTGGTAATTTCAATATTTAAATAATATATACTTATTGACTGGAGAGTGACATGTGGAGTAGTGGACCCTGTATTTAAAATTGTTTTTCTTCTAAAATTAAATTATGCTACAATTTTCCATTTTATCGTTATAATTTTAAACTTTAATTGTTTATTCTAAAATCAATGTTTAAACTATATAATATGTTATTTTCTATTAAATATCATTAAGGTATTACATTTTTTTTATCTAGATAAATTGAATTATTATATAATTTCAAATATACAACATACTGAGTTAAGGAAATATATTGATAACAATATTTTAATTTGTAATTTTATATATTTAAATTATAGTAAATAATATTCATATTATCTACTTAAATTAAATTTTTAGATATTGTTTTTTCTTTTACCTTAGTAGAAATAAATATTTTAATATTGAATTTTTATATTTAGGTATATATTTTCTTTATATTAAATTCTAAAAAATTGTATTTTTAAAATATTCAATATATTGTTAATACCATTATTATTTGTTAACTACTTAGTAGTTAGAATTTTAATCTTATGGTATAAGTTATTATTGTTTTTATAATTTTTCTCTGATATTAATTATTAATTATTTTTATGATAAATTATCATTACCTACTATTTTAATTATAACTGTTATTAGTTTCTGAGCATTATTTATTTATTTTTATTTTTCAGATGAATTTGTTTAGGTCTGTGGACTTAAAATTGTAATAAATCAAAAAATTGATAATTAATAATTATTAATCATACCCATTAATTTGTATTTAATCAGTTTTTTAGATTCTGAGCATAGTACTGTATTGAATTTATTTTGATGTAATAATATTTTTCAAAAATACTACTTTAATTTGCTTTAATCTAAACAAAATGTTTAAACTTAAAAATATTGAGTAATAGGTAAATAGAACAATGTCTAATTCAAATTTAGCATTTTCTCATGCTAGGTTAAAAAAGAATAATCAAATGGTTTATAGATTAAAATTACTACTGATAACCTAAAATCTGTAGTTTTTGTTTTGGTGTAATATTTTATTTACCTACTGAAGGTTATATATGGATTTATATGTACACCTATAAGCAAATTTGTTGATTATGGATTTATTCTATGTAAAAATATGTTTATTAAAGGTACACACAAGCATTTAATTTATTGTTACCATAAAAACATAAAAATAATATTATATAATTATTATATTATTGTATAGTTCGTCCCAAAAGAGAACAGTTCGGCAGTCAAGTTTAAAATGTAGATCTATTTAGCAGACATCCAGCTGAACTTAGTTGAATACTGTCAAGTTACGAGTCACTTTCAAACTGAGTTGGTAAGTTTACACTGTTTTATCTACATCATGGTCTGATTGAATATTACAAAATTCATAATTTTGGTTTAAATTTTAAAATAAATTCATAATTACACTATAATTTGTTAGAAATTAAGTAAATTAATTTTTAAACTTACAAAAATACTACCAATAAATAATTTTTAGAATTATGCCAGTAAAAAGTTATTTACGATGATATATACAGAATATGTATTACACATCTAGGCCATGTTTTCATGTAGTAAGATGATTAGGTAGTTTGATGTATAGTAATTGGGATGTCATTTCGAGGGTAGTGAGAAACATTTTTTGGAGTTTTTTTTTATCCCGTTTTAGTTGTTTATACTCAAAAATTAATTTAACAACACCACTGATGATAATTCAATTAACAATGAAACCAAACAACCAATCACTTTAAAATTATAAAAATAGTATAATTTGATATTTTTTACTATGTTAAAGTCAATTTTAGATTCCGAGGGAAGGAGTCATTAGTTTTACATTATGCTGTTTATTTCTTTTTCTTTTTTCTTTGTTCTAGTGTGTGGCACGTTTTCTCCTAGTAAACTTGTTCCAATTTTTACGTGTAGCAACTTTTTTGAAAGCTCAAGTTATCAAAATTGTACTTTAAAAATATCATTTTTTGATTTACGGTGCCATTTTTTTAAATAAATGCACTTAAGTGGGAAAAAAAATACAATTTTATTATTTTATAAAAAAAAAAAAAGGTAGACGTTTTCTACCAGAAAAAATGATTTAATTGAAAAATCATAAAACACCTTATTTGTTGCCTTTTTGATTTACTTTCTTACAGTATTATTTCCAAAACTTTTGAGCCACTATTGCGCTTTTAAGGAATTGTAATTTTTGGGAGTTTTTTGCTGTAATTTGGTTATAAATACACGTAGAGACTTGAAACTTGGGAATAACACTTATATTGGACTTACCTAGACGTGATAAAATTTCCGAAATCATCGGATGACTTTTTTTTTTTAAATAGCGTTTTGAATTCAAATGTAAACTAAAATAACAAAAAAAATTGCAAAACTTCAAATTATGTATTACCAAACAGTGCTCGGAATCGTCTTTCGTCAAGCAATGGTTTATCGTTGCTTACAGATATAACTGAAATAACCTTATGTATCCTACCTTCTCAACTTATGGCCACACCCTTTTTCATCTTTTTTTATTAATATAAATTATGTACGAAGAAATTAATCTATAATTTTGCAGGACTCTCCCGGTCGCATAAAACTGATTCATATAATATTATAAGCGGATTTGATTTTAGTTTTTCTTTTTAATTTCAAAATTATTTCTTAACACGGGAACCAGTGGCCGGTCCCTTCCCCAGTATCAGCTCTTTTTTTTCTTTTAATATACGGTAGAAATGCCAATCGCGTATAAAATCAATAAAGTGTAAGCCATCGTATTAATCGTTTGTCAAGAGCGATAGCAAGTTATGACCTAACTGTTTTTGTGGTCAAATCGGTCGAGGTATACATTCTCTATAGGTAAATCTGTAAAAGTCCTTTAGGAGATAAATATTATATAGCTCGTATATACCTACTTAACCTTCATATTTTATTTTATTTTTTTATACATCATATTTGTATAGTTACCCATATATTTGTACAGTCATTTTATTGTAAATAGAAACAAGAACAAAAGAAAAATCAGTGGTGTGTATGGTATGAATAGTGCATAGGTACCTACTGGCTACTGAGATATAGTTTTAAACAATAGTACCTACAAAATAAAAACATTTAAAAATTTTTTTAAAAAAAACCTGTATGAGATACTAAAGTTTTAGCATTCCAAACAAAGGATCATCAGAATTGCCTATTCACTACGCCGGCTTTCTAAACAATATTCTCATGGAAGAAAAATGATTATATTACAAGTTATAACAATGGTCTGAATTTATATCATATTTTAGATCGTGAGTGGAGCAAGGAATGTATTGATTTAATAATGATGTTTCTTTTATTTCTTTTTTTATACAGTACAATTTAGTGTTTTTCTACCGGAAATCTTGTTCTGGTTTTGAAGTGTAGCACCTTCTCTGAAGGTTTATACTTTTATCTAGTTGGTCCTTTGAGGAGATCATTCGATTTTCAAAGCAATTCTCATAATAATTGAGAAAACCCGGTAAAAAACCGGACAATTTACTTTCGATTTATTTTCGATTTTGTTTTTTTTTTCAGTTAAAAATGTTCATAGAGACTTGAAATGTGTACAGAAAACTCATAAATATGCCTTTTTATAAACGTGTTAACATTTTAAAAATTTGATTTATTTATGGATATTTTAATTTTGCGAGTTTTTTACGTAATTTTTATTCAGTAGGTTCTTGACAATTTAACAGAAAGTAAATTATACGCTGTTTTTAGTGGTAAACGAGAAAAATTTGAGTTTAATGTAGTATTTTTTTTTTTTTGTAAACATTTTAATACCAAATTTTGACGAAAATCGTAAATATTACGACCTTTTAAAATATGTAAAACCGAATTCCGCTGAAAATTATTTTCCGTTAGCAATGATTAATCGTTGCACACAGATATACATTAAATTCCCCTCTATGTCCTATCTTTCTAACTTTTCACCTATAATAGTATCCCAGCCATAGTGAGAATTATGTCCGTCTCTTTTGGTACTAAATTTTGTTTAGTAGAGGTTTAGATTTTAACGAAGTTAGGGATCTATTGGTTTTACAATGATGATGTGTTTTATTTTTTGTGTCTGTGAGCGACTTTTCAAAAAGAAAACTTACTCCGATATTCAAGTGTAGCACTTTTTACCTAATTGGTGCATTGGGGAGGTAGTTTTTTGATTTTCCAAAAGGTCTTCATAATAATTAGGAAAACAATTATCGGAAGAATCGTAAACACTTACAGTGTAGCGTTACCAGTTTTTTATTTTAATTTGCCGACAATATGTTTTCTACCTTGTTCCAATTGTTCCAATATTGTTCCAATAAAAAAACAACAAAAAACTATTTTTTGTTGCGTTTCGGATCTGAGGAAGTTGGCCTTTTTTGATGTTCCCAGTATTTTTCAGGATACTT